AAAAAACACTCTTTTTACAATGTTACACTTAAAACTTATTGACTGTGACAATAATTGCTGGGGGTTTCGGAAGCCCTTGTTACAAGGACACTCACCCCAAAACCTTACCACCGATTCTGACCACGCAAAGCATATCTCATAAAAACTGTCACAACAAAAGTTGTTCCCTATGAAATTCTACGTAGAATAAGCGGAACAGCTGTTTTCTCTAATGACAAAAACTTTAAAAAATTTAATAATACAAAATTTTAAAATTAAAAATGTTTTAATTTTCATTTAACTTCTGTTCAAAACTTTTTCTTGAAATTCCGTCCCGCTTATTCCGTGCAGAATGGCATCAGCTACAACTTCACCAGCGAAAAATTTTCTCGGAAACTCTTCGTTATCGCAGAATCGCTGGCAAGGCTTTCAAAAATTACTTTTTATACTTAAAAGTAGAAAAAACACTCTTACGCCATTTGTGCCATATTTTAAATTGAATGATATTACGGAAATATTCGTTTTTATAACCACGAGAAGATTGTTATCAACAGCGAGTCTGTCTGTGTATTTACAAGTTGATGGTACATACAAGTTAAATTGGAACAATTTTCCTGTACTCGTGTGTGGTACAAGCGATGCTCAGCGACATTTTCATCCTTTTGGAATTGCCTTGGTTTACAGTGATGAATCGACTGCATGTTATGTTGATTTATTCAAAGCGTTAAAATGGAGTATACCATTAGTTACCAATCAAGCGTATTACATACATTTTCTGATCGCTGATGGTTCCAAAGCAATAACGAAAGCTCAACAACAAGAATTTTCATGTATAAGGAAGTTAGTTGGTCCCAAAAGATGGCAATCGTGATTGAAAGAGAGAGACTGTTGTTTATTTGCAGGTTAATGTGCTAGGCACATGTTATACGTCGATGTCGAGCTCATAAAAAGATGGTTCCTGATGACAAATGGCCACAAGTCGAAAGTGACATATGTTCAATACAATTGTGTTGCAATGATTTCATATTCGCTGAAGCAAGCAAGTTGTTATTGAAAAAGTGGCAAAGTGATACTAGTCTTGATACGTTTCGAATGTATTTTCAAAGCAAGTGGATTGATGCATTACCATATTGGTATGAAGGCAGCGCGTTATAATATCCAATGACAAATAATGAACTTGAAAGTCTGAATGGCAAAATCAAGAAACATTACACATTACGTAGTAAACTACCATTATCTGGTTTTTTGTCAATTGGTTGTCAGACGATTAGTGACTGGGCGTTAAAATTACATAATTGTGTATTTTCATTAGAACCAATTGTTAGTAAAGATTTGGAATTGTTTGTGTCAAAATGGTCAACAAGTATTTCAAAATCAATGATACCATTGCCTTGGAATGTCTATGAGCAAGTAGTACCAACGATCCATGTGCAACTGGATGTACAACAATGGATTGATATGTATCAACATTGTCAATTTAATACATTCGATAATTATTGTCGCTGGTATGAATCTGCACATATTGTTTCTGTGCAACAAATGTACTGTACCTGTCGATATTTTTGTAAAGAGTATATATGCAAACATGTGGTTGGTCTCAAAATTGTATATGGCATACACAAATTACCAAATGATCGTTTACCACCTGGAAAAAAACCCAGAGAACGACCAAAAAAACAAGTCTTGCTCTATTATTTTGGTGAACACAAATTGCTATTTTTTGTTTACAAATTAGAAACAAGAAAAGCACCATTGTTGATTCGTTTCGGCACATAAACTTTTTTTCAAAAACGTGTTAAGAGGCTTCTGATAGTCCTGCAATGTTGTTACTGATTTTGTTAACACACTACTTTCTGGAGCTTATACCGTTTTAATATGCATTTGTAGCTAGCATGTTATAAGAAAGACAATGGGCAAGATGCGTAGATCTAGCAGTTGAGATAAAAATACGTTTAAGGTAAAGACAGTTTTATCCTCTGCATAATAATATAGGCACTTCTGTAACCCTCCACTAAAATTTTACGCAAAAAATCTTTATTTTTAGAAAATCTACTGCTAAGTTTCAAAAACATATAAATCGATACGTTACCTCTCTCTATATACATAGTATATGCAGGAAAAAGGGTTATGGAAAATTCAAAACCTTAGTAAGATCTTAATCAAGATCTTATTCAGATGATTTTAAGAAATGCCGGAGGTTTGTCCTAGGAGCTCACATTTTAAAGCCATAATGGAAGACTTTTAAAACCTTTTCATAAAACTTTTCTTTAAAAATCTAGGGCGCGGCTAATTCAAAGGATTTACATGTTTTTATTTTCGCCTTTTTCACACATATTCTGATGGAGAAAATCATGCTGATTCCAAATCTTACCTTTTAGTTCGAGAAAGTCAGATCTTCATGGAGAAAAACGCGAAATACTGAAGGTACTGAAGTTGTAACGGGTGTGGGAAAAATTGGTGCACTTTTTCGCAAAATTTCGATTTTTTCAGGTTTTCGACCCACCTTCAGTATTCCGCGTTTTTCTCCATGAAGATCTGACTTTCTAGAACTAAAAAGGTGATATTTGGAATCAGTATGATTTTCTCTATCAGAATATGTGTGAAAAAGGCCAGAATAAAAACATGTAAATCCTTTGAATTAGCGGCGCCTTACTAGCTAAAAGTACTTTTACTGCTTAGTATTTTTTTGTAGAAGAATTTTCTGTGTGCCTTTCAGCATTTCTAGACCTTTGTGTTTGTTGTTCGAAGCACTTCATAATGTTTCATTGAAAACGATGCTTTTCGAAGCCTATATTTATACCATAATGACAGTTGGTAAGTGATGCTTTTCTGTGTGAAAAAGTATGTTGTTTCCTGTAATAAAATCTTTCGAATATACAGAATAAGTATACAAAATGAAAATGATGCGTTTTAGTTACACAAAAAGTAAATAATGGAAAAAATTATAACGCATAAATTTCATGAGTTCAAGCAAAGAAGCTGTATGTCTAATCCACTCTTGGCTATTGTATAGCTTTTCTTTCTTATGGAAGAAAATACATTTGTTACTGTTACTACGCGAAGAGGGAGAAAAGAGGAAAGCATGAACAAAATTTTTGGAGTACAAATGTCACTATGGAGATGGTATTTTTTAACAGCCATTGAACTGCATATACCTTTGTGCATAGCCACGGCTACAAAAGCATTACTGCATTGATTATCTTTTTTGTTAACTTTATTTTCATACCTTATTTCAAGTTGATACTTAAGGGAAGCCGTCAAAATTACGATTGTAGCAAACGTAACAAACAGAGCAAATGTAACAAACCGTAGAATGTAAAGAGCTTCTCAAACACACAATGATTTTTCACTACCGTTGTCATAGAGGGTTTGTTCAGATATTACATAGACTAGACTCATGATGCTACTGAACTATATGATGGAACGAAACGGAAAGGCACAAGGTATAAAAGTTTGACCATTATTTTCTAAAGAAAACTGGTTTGGGAGTCATAGATATTAGGCGCAGTCGATTACGTTGTACGTCGAAAAGATCTCGCTAAGATAACCGTAATTTTTACTAGAGGATCTCCGTGTTGAACGAGGATTTCACGTTTTGCTACACTACAGTATAACTCAGTTCACCTTGCCACTTCAAAGAAAGCCATCTTTTTGATCTTTCTACCTTCTTTGCGCATATACAGGTGAACATAGGAAGCAAGAAACGGCAAAAAACTAAATTTTATATTTTTACATGCTCAATCAATATTCTATGCCCATGAAAAACAGTATTCACCTCAATTTGTGCTAAAAGCTGTCATTTTGGCGAATTGAAATAAAATTAACTGAAAGCTACGTATTTCTATCTTTAAACTACTTTCCTAACACCCGAGTTGTACTCTACGTTGAGTCATTTTTAGAAAAAGATACCGTTCATTTTTTGAGTTATACGGCTGGCAATATCGTTGCCGAGCATACTAAAACTTTAGTTTTGACGAAAATTTCAGATGGACTTTCCGATTTTCTCTTCGGGTCATAATATTCAGACAGAATGTTCTGGAGTTACGTACAAACTTTTCTTGTTATGTATGTGCAAAGAATATATCAAGTAATTTAGTATAGAAAAACCGGACTAAGAATGAATCGAGAAACATATGAGAGCGACAGAAAGCGTGCACATTATTACATGTTTGCAAAAAGATGGAGAAGGACACACACTCCAACAAAACGAACAAAACAATTCGTTTAATTTAACAAGTTAAAAGTTTGTTGACGTTTTTGTAATTGAATCTGGGAGATTTATCTCGTATATTTTTCTTATGTGCTAGTATATATGTATGTAGAACTTTATTTCGTTTTATAGAATAGAACAAACTTTCTATTTTAATCTTTAAATTAGTGCAATTCCAAATGGTTTAAAATGACGATTGGCATCCGTTGAGCCGAACACCAGCAGAGGTAGTTCATTCCACGTGATTTTATATGTTGCGTCAACTTGTAAATATGTTGTTAATCGAATTTGTTGGAATAATTGTTTTGTGGTAAAGAATACGAAAATATTATTTATATCTAAAATAGTATACAAGAGCACAAAAGTTGAATGTATCTGCTTACCTTCATTATGTTCGTTACACCAGTTTCGTAAATCAAACACTGAAAATATTTCTGGCCTGTTCTTTCGTCGTCCATAATTCACTAAAGCTCTTAATTTTGTCTCTAATAAAGGAGTACTTGGATGACCTTACACTAGCGATGATTTAATTTGAATACGGGATAAGCCACATTTAATATATGACGTTCCTCATCTTTATGTTCATGTACGCCTCTTAACATAACTGTCACTGATTGTACATCGTTATCTGGTACGATTATCTGAATTTCAAAAAAGCATAATAGATATTTTCTGTACTCACCGCATGAACGAATACTTCGTATGATTCTTCAAATCTGATCGACGACATTGGCATACGTTGTATTGGGATTTGGATAATTCTTTTGCTTCATCATAAGATTGGACTGTGCACAAGACGTTCCATTCTTGCTTCGACATTGTTTGAATGGTATCATATACAGGTTAGGGTAGTTATTTATAATCATTTCTGAGCTGACAAAAGTTCCAAAAGAATGCAACCGTTGACAATAAAATTTCAAAAAGCTTCAACTGTTGACGATAAAAGTTGTCTGTCTACTCATTAATTGGTAATCATTGCTAATTAAGTGCGATATATCTTCTTAAATATATTTTCTTTAAATTAAATTTTCTTTAATTGATTTGGTGATCAAAAGTGTAATTTTTGGTTACCAATACACACTTTTTTCCTTTATTATATGTTTAAAGGAAGTTGTGCTCATTCGATATTCTCCCAATTTCGCAAATTAAAATAAAATAACTGGATAGGGTGCATTTCCACTTCTTATACCAGATAAATATATATTATTAATAATTACTTTTCAACTATTTTTCGTCACATACTGATGTGTCCTATAAAAATAAAATGTAAGTTTCGGTACTCGGTAGGTTGAATTGCTTTCGGTTGAATTTTTTTTATTTCCCAGTTCTGCTTTATTTGCTTCTTCTTTCTTATTTTAGCACATACACATATACAACTGCTCTTTTCTTAAAATCAGTATAGGAGTAGAACAAATTCTGTTTTCATTGAATATTCAGTTTAGTCAGTATGAACATTTGTCCAAATTTTGTGAAAAGTGAAGTGAATACTGTTTTTCATGGGCATAGAATAATTGATCGAGCATGTAAAAATATAAAATTTACAATCATTATACAGAATACTTTTTTATTACAATTATGTGAGTGATGAATCTTCAATGTCATTATTGGTGATTTATCATACTACATAATAACTTATGAATGAAAAGTAAATAGTCCGTCATAATTTATATAACATCAGTAACGTAACGTATTGAAAAGTTCTATATTTATGCTAGAATATGTGTACATTTGATATTAACCTGCTAATACATTCTGACAGACTTAGACGAACTAATTAAGAGCTTATCAACCATGTTGTATACTTGTACTCTTCCGAAATAAAATTTATACACGATTTATACTCGTACAACCTAACACATACAAATGCTCATAGAAATATTTACGATAGCAATTAAAAGCACATATTTTTCTTATGCTTAGCTATGATATTGACAGCCGTTTATCTCAGAAACGAGAGAAGGTCCCCAAGTGTTACTCTTACTTTTTAATGGGACATATTCTCATTTGTAGAGCTCGACGAGCTGATTACGATGACATAAAGCATTTTTCCCCATGGCTCTTGAAGACCCGGTTTTCTGGAAAACCAGTTTTTCTGAAACTCTACAAAGTAACCAAAACTTCTCTTAATGACTTGTAGCACACACATTTCTGATTAAAATAAGACGTCTCTCAGCTCTACATGACCTTTCTTTGCAAAGTTATAGAATTCACAAGATAAGCCCTAAATGTTCACTGTCAGCTCATAGCTACAGAAATAAGAAGAAATTAATTTAGGACTTTTCTGGTAAATTGTATAACTTTGCAAAGAAATGTCGTGTAGAGCTGAGAGACGTCTCATTTTAATCAGAAATGTGCGTGCTACAAGTGCGCATCGTTAAGAGAGGTTTTGGTTACTTTTTAGAGTTTCAGAAAAACTGGTTTTCCAGAAAACCGGGTCTTCAAGAGCCATGGGGGAAAATGCTTTATGCCATCGTAATCAGCTCGTCGAGCTTTACAAATGAGAATAGATCTACTCTTTCTTTTAAAATGTATCACACGTATGTTTTCTCTTACATTATATGTGTTATAGTAGCGATTAGTTTTAGAAATTTTTAGTTTAGGTTACCATGAGGTGTCTCCGGATGCCACAAGTCCTTTTGGTGCTTTTTTGTGATATCCTACCTTTGTGTAAAATAAATCTATCTATAACGACTGTTATGAATCACAACGGCTGCATTCGTTATCAAATTTAAGCATACAGTGGTTTTCGAACGATACCGTATTCGGTGGAAAATCAGTCATTATGACAACTGTACATTGTATATTTCTAATTTAAATTCTGTACATTTTCATTTGTAATTTAATAAGCGGAACGATACCGGGTGAAGATGAGAGGGTGCAAAAAATAGTATGGAACATCAAGCAGATGCTCTTGTAAACGATAGATAAACGACACTTTCGTTGTCGCGAATATAAATGAAAATAAATGGCTCTCATAAATTTAGAGTAAAGATAGCTCAAAATAATTCGTAGTTTTTTTAAAAACCGCAGAAATTCCTTGATAAATTTCAATTTTTTGTTAAAACAGATGTTCTGAAAAAAGTTATTTAATTTATGCTTCTTTTAGTACACAAAAGAAACAGAAAGCAACAACAACCCTTAAAAAATTGCGTAAGTTTTTCTCAATTTTTTTTACCCATTTTTCATCTTGATTTTTGCTTCGAGTTATTATTGTTTATTAAACATCTCATCATCATATTCATTCATTTAACTGACTTTCTGATTTCTGGTTCAACTGGACGAGCTAAAACATGGAACGGAGTATGAAAAATAGGCCCACTTTATGGACAATCCTAAAAAGCGGAAGAGCGTACGACACTTGCCATCGACGCCATATAAAGAGATATCAACACCTTTATACATGAAAAGACCTCTGTGATATCCTTAATATCCTTACTCTGTTCAGTCTAATATTCACTCTGCCATTGTATATGTTCAATATTTCTCTTTTCTCCCATATGATAATATGTCCATCACTCTTCTTTTTACGTCTATTCTATATCTCTCTCCTTTTGTTGTGCGTTTAATCACTCTCTCTTTGTTCACTGCACTATTTCTACCTATTGTACAGCACATATTGCTCGGTCTATTTTCGAATAAACTCAGTAAAGTCAAGATTTCCTTTACAATAGACCTTTTAGGGACGTAGAATGAGACTTGAAAAAAATGGAATTCTCGATTGATAGATAACTTACCTGGAAAAACACATGTTTTCAATGCATTATTCCAGAGTAGTGGTCCCTTTTGATGTGGATCAAGTGGATGACCTGGTGCACACATTTTGCAGTAGGCAATACCATGTGAACAATGAATAAACCCATATATATTGCTCGGATCCGAATACACTTGAACGGAATTTTCATCATCATGCACTTGTGGACAAGCGAAATCACCGCAGATTCGTGACGTAGCTATGTAAGACAAAGAAAGAAGATGAAGTGATGAATTCTCGTTAATTGAGCTTCTTTACTCACTTTCCCATTCACACCTCTTTTGATTGTCATCCCAAACCAGAGGTCCTGCTTGATGTGGCGCTGCTTGATGAGCAGGTGCACATGATTTACAATGTGCCATACCGTGCTTACAGTGAATGAAACCATATCGATCATGAATATTTGTATACATTTCCCATGGATTAGCTGAATCTAGTTCAGGACATGTAAAATCAAATATACACAGGTCGGTATCATCACGGCCAGCAAGCTTGTAACCGTAAACTGAAGTAATTGTCATGCAAAATACGAAGAAGTTCAACATTATTGATTCGTTTGATTATTGCTTGCAAGGTTCGTGTTTGTATCGTCAAAGTGAGTCTTATTATATATATTCTCGCAGGTGGATCTGTTCCCTGTAAATATCGAGGAAAGATTTCTGAGAATTAAAAAAAGGACAAGAGTCTGATAACAATAATAACGAGATAACATCAATGACGTTTGCTAAAAACAAAAACTTTCTTTTCTTTTTTGTTCTTGACTTCAATTTAAAAACAAATAGTATAACAATGTATGTGAGAATGAAAAAATCTGACAGCAAATGAAAGAAAATGTATCAAAGCTAAAACTACCTTATTTTTTGTTCTCCTAAGGTGTATATGCATGTATTTTTAGAGTTTTGGGTGAACGATTTACTTTAACTGCATAACTCTAGATGTTGCTGACTCGTTCACCCAAAACTCACACTGATCATTACTGACTTTGCCTGACACATGCAGACTGCGTAGATATGTCAATATTTCCACTTTTTAAATCTTGTTTCATATTTTTTGCAATGATTCAATGAAAATGAAAATCAAGAACAATCGTCGCACCATCAAAATGTGACAAATATGAGTATCGATTAAACTATGGAGTACTTCAAGGGAATGATGAACTAAAATACATCATAAAACAGGATCAGAAAGTATAATGGTTTTTTGTTATCCACTTTATACACAGCTCGTATTACGTATCAGTAAAAATACATGCATATACACCTTAGGAGAACAAAAAATAAGGTAGTTTTAGCTTTGATACATTTTCTTTCATTTGCT